GCACGTGGATGCAGTCTTTGGCAGAGACCCACAGGAAGTACGTCTGGCAGGGGCAAGAAAAGGAGTTGTTATTTCCAACAAAACAAGAAAGCAAAGCACATCATCCTGAGAGAGGAGCCTCTTTTGCTTGTGTCCATCTGGGCCCAGCCTAGGAGCCCATAGTCCTGGCAATTTGCTGGTTGTTCTTTCTTTGCTCCCACTGGCATTGCTTTGCCCATGGCCAGCCACTCCTTCTTCCTGTCTAAATTGCCCCTCTTTGGCACTGTCCCAGAGCAGAAGGTCCTCTGTAGGACCTCAAACTGCAAGGCAACCCCTGCCCTGACTGTCCTTCTCTGTTCTTCATGGGAAAGGAGGTCTGGCTGGATGGGAGCTGCTTACAGTTTGTGACAAGTCAAAATGTCTCAGGATGGGAAAAAGTTTAAGTCAGTGCCTAAAGTGAGTTGCCACAGGGAGGGAGAAGATGTGGGCTGGGTGGGGGCTGAGTTAAGCCTCTGCATTTGCTGTGGGGGCAGTTGAACTAGTCCATGAGATCAGAGCTCCTTCTACTCGTGCCTGTGTCTCTCTACCCCTCTCTGAGACTGAGCAGAGCCATCTCACCTGGACCACCACGAATATTGCCTGCACGATGGGGTAGATGATTTTGATCGCGGACAGGCAGCTGTAGAAGCTTGAGTAATATCCTATTTTGAACACATCCATGACAAGGCTGAAAATGGCAAATAGAATCAGGCCTCCTGTTGAAGGAACAAAAATATCTGTGGTTGGACAGATGTGTGAACACATGGGCTAATACAGGTAAACGAGAGGAAAAAGAGGAACTGTTGTCATGGAGAGGTTTTGCTTCTACCACTGTTTCTCCTTCCCCAGCACCCAAAATATCATGGCACCAGGAGAACTGTACAAAAATTTTGGCTGGAATGGATTTTCAATCAACCCTGTACTCTGGGATTAACATCTCTGACAAAAGCTGAGAGGGATCCCAGGCTGGGAAGGATCCTGGTGTAAAGTACCAAGAGCCCTTGCAGATACAGGGAGACCCATCAGTGAATCCAGTGGAGGGAGCAGGAGCAGACCTGAAGCAGGGCATGGTGCCATGCCCCAGAGCAGGAGGGGACTGTGCCCACATGGTTGCTGCTTCCCTTGTAATAACTGATGTTTCCATGACCTCTCCACCCTGTACCTCCCCTCCAACCCCAGCCCCCGAGAGCTCCTACCTCTCAGCCAGATGGGCCCAGCGTGGGAGTCCTTGCAGAGGATGGCACCTGGGCACCGGGAGGTGCCGGCGAGGTAGAAGATGATCCATATGATGACTATCAGCATCATCACAGTCAGCAGGAAGAAGACGTCGTAGTCGTGCACGGCGATCTTCTCAAAGGCCCCGCTGCTCACCAGCGTGCAGGCCAGCAGGGCCAAGTGCACGGCCAGCAGGATGGAGAACATGCGGCCGCCCTTCTTCCACACTTCCTTGGAGGCAGGAGTGGAGGGGGCCTGGTGGCTGAAAGATGCTATCTGGCTCAAAGCCAGGCTGGCTTTGTCGTCCTTGTGTCCGCAGCCCATGCTGGAGTTGGGGTGCCCGATCTCGCTGTCCTTCCGCCTGGGCTCTTCGGTCATGGTTCAGCCAGCGCTCTGTCTGACGGTCAGTGCTGTTGGCAGGAGAGTCCCATGAATGAGAAGTGACACTTTATTTGTAACAGTCCAGGGCTGGAGCAAAGCAGGACATGTGATGAGGAGGAGAGAACGTATCAGAGGAACAGGGAAAGCTGAGACAGGCACCGCAAGACAAGGGATGAGCTCACTCTCAACCCTTCCTTTCCTGGTTCCCTGAAGGTTGCTCTTGCTTAAGATGCTTTTGCTCGGGGAGATCCCAGGTCAGTTTAGAAAAGCGTTTCTAATTGGTGACATGTCACATTTACGTGTTTATTGATGCAAGATATTGGAAAAGCACCAGAAAGTGCTCACAGGATCAGAATACCCTGGGGCAAACAGCCGTGTGGTTTTGATTTCCAAATGTCAAATACTAAACATTCCGAGAAGCTGTTATACTTCCTGGCTGATGAACAGGACAAGAAAAAGGTAAGAAACCCCCAGGAATCTTTGGACCATCACATCATAATTTTTACCAGTTCCTGCAGGAAGGGTGTGAGCTATCTCTGCTGTCACACTCTCTAAAGCCCCTTGCCCTTGCTAAGTTTGGAAGTTCATTGATTCTCAATGAAAAGCCTAAAACAAAGCCATTTCACCAACCTGTTTTGCTGCCTGGGATCCAAATCTCTGCTCTTGCCAGGCTGAGGAGTTTCCCTGTAGCTGCAGCTTGTTCAGTCGAAGAATTTATATCCTTGGGTTGGGATATGTCTGTGCTTTATACCATGTCTGGAGCTGACAGCAGGGCTTCGTGGGCTTCTCAGAGAAACTCATGTGATCCATTTTGTGCAATAGCTGATTTTGGGGAAGCTGGACAGAGATGAGGAGATAAGGGTTATTTACCCAATGAGAGCACGAGCTGACAACACTGCTAAGCATGGCATGGACCGCTCGGTCGCAGGGTCATGGTCACCAGAGAGCAAAGCCACCCCATCAAACCCATCTCCCTACATCCATAAGATCTCTTCCCTTGAGGGAATATGGTTTAGATGACGAACTTATCTTTGCTGATGATTTGGTGCTTGGCTTTCTGCTTAACTGAGCACAATAAACATTGTGCCTCGCCCTGTCTTATTCAAATCAGTCTGCTCTAGGCCTGGAACGTTTTTGAGGAAAAGGAAGAAATTTGCATTTGTGTCTGTTCAGTGCCAAGGGTAATGTAATCCTTTCCCACCCATGATGGCAAAAATGAGGAAGGTTGAGCGCCAGAGCAGGGCAGGATTTGGGTACCACAATTCATGTTCGACTTTGCTGACGCACTGACTTTGATTTTTCAGGGTGGGACCACCTTTCTCTGGCCCTTTCTCAGGAGCTTAACTCCTTCCAAGGAGGAAGTCATGTTATAAACCACAGTGCAGATGGGATTCAAGCTCTTGCCAGCTGAGGTGAGAGCTGCTCAAGGTCTCTTTCACACCAGCTTGTGTTTTGTGGAGGAGATGAGTGGGACCCAGGGCAGTTCTGAGTGGATGGGGATGAATTTTAATCCCTGGAGATGCCTCTTTTGGAGATGTCCCTGCCACTTTCCCCCTCTAGGGCCCAGCACAGAGCCCGTTTGCTGTGTGTGTTTTCTCAGTCCCGTTGCTGCCTGCTCACCGCCGTGCTCCTTTCAGCACTTCGGGGACAGCACCAAACTGAGCTGCGCGGGCTGTGAAGGAGAGCTCAGGATCCACACACAGCCCAGGGAGATCTCCATGAGTCCCTCCCGTGCTGCCACCAGCCGGCTGCCACCAGCACTGGGTCTGCCCTGCCTGGCCTCTGCTGATCCTGAGGGCTTCCTTTCGGGATAAGTGGGTGAACTTTTCTCAGTCTACAGCCTTTCCCAGGGGAATCCAGACCTCCCTGAAGTAAAACTGAGTGGATAATCATGTTTTGCAGAAGGCAGAGATTCAGAGGCCCCTCGGGCTAAATGCACTGGTTCATCCTCCCTCTTTTGTCCTTAACAGCCAGTAACAGAGGAAAGAGTGTTTACTGCCTCGGGCAATGCTCCCAGTCCCCCAGCAGCGACCTTAGAACACTCGTTTCACGACAACAGCATAACAAACTTAAATAATAATAATACAGAAATCATTAAATAACCTCGGTAATGAATTGCAGACGTTACTGTGCTGCTTTTTCACCTGGAAGGATCCCGGTGACAAATTCCTCCGTGGCTACTGCATCCATCAGGACTCACCTGGGGAGGCTGAGCTGGCACAAACAAACCTGCCTAGGTGAGCAAACCCTGCCTGGGGAGCAGCAGACCCTGCCTGGGGCACTTACAGGTGTCCCCAGGCAGCCAGGACAGTCACTCCGTGTCTGTCACCCAGGGGTTAATCATTGCAGCTTGTGCACCTGGCACAGCTTTAGGGCCACCCTCCTATCCTGGGGCAATTTTTTCCAGCCCTGCAGATCTCCCATTCCCAGAGCCAGGGCATGACAGGCAAAATGAAAAAGAGAGGGGCAGGAAATTCCTCCCCCACAACAGCATGTCCCATGGGATACCATTCACCGATTCACCCTTGGGTGCAATGTGCTGGGACAGCTGTGTGCTTTGGTCATTATCCAGGCTTGGCTCCATCTTTCCCGACAGCAGAGGGTGCTTGGGGCCTGAGAATACTGTGCTGGAAGCATTGCCTGCAGTTATCCAGCTCCACAAGGGTCTCACCTAGCCGGGAATTCAGTGTGGGCATAAAAGACACCAGAGGCCACACGGCACCCCCATGCCCATCGTAGTGAAGCACCGAGTTACAGACAGGAGTGGGCTTGGTGTTGCTTTAGTCTCCAGAGAGGAAAACAGGGTGAGGAAGGGGATTTTTCCAGCCTATGCAAGTTCCTTTGGTTTATCAAGGATTCCTGTTGTGGTGTTTGTTGTGCAATCCCCTGGAAAGCAGGATTCTGTGGGTATAGGCAGGGTAGAAGGGGGACAGGGATGGTGACTGGGTCTGCTGTTGTCTTCCTAGTGGCACTAGGGAGATAGATAGATAGATAGATAGAGACCCACTCCTCCTCCTGTGGCTGCTGCTGCCCCTCCCTTGAGATGGGTTAGTTATGGAGAGGGGCACCGAGGGGTATCAGGCAGGATACAACCTGTGAGCCTTTCTGGCAGCCTGCTCTGCTTTGGGGACGTGCAGACCTAGCAAATTGTCACTGCGTGCCCCTGTGCCCAAGTTTTGGGCTGAGCTCGAAGCAGCGATGCCGCCTAATTGGAGCTTTTAGTGCGCCGTGGAGCTGGTGTGTGTTACAAAGAGCCGTCGGGGCCGGAGGATGCTTAGGACCCAGGGGAAGCGCTGTAGAGCCTGGCTGGCTGAGCTTGGAACAGCTCCTGCCTCCCCGGCCGGGACTTCTCAGGTGTCCTGGTACTGCGGAGCTGTGCGAGGCGAGCGGGGCCCTCCTGGCAGCTCCCCCTGCCCCACATCCATGCCCGTCCTCTGAACCCCCTGGGCACCCATGTGCTCGCCCGGGGACTGCTCCTCACCATGAATGACCAGTACCACCGGGCCGCCCGGGACGGCTACCTGGACCTGCTGAAGGAAGCCACCAAGAAGGACCTGAACTCGCCGGACGAGGATGGCATGACCCCGACCCTATGGGCTGCCTACCACGGCAACCTGGACGCCCTGCGCCTCATTGTCAGCAGAGGGTGAGTGTGAGCGAGTGCACGGTGCTGGTCTGGGGGATGGAGTAGCTGGGACCCCCATCTTTCACCCTTCCCTGCTCGCAGGTCAGTGTGCCCCCAAAAATGATGGATTCTGTCCATAAAACCCCTGCTCCCATCCTCCCTGCTGTTATTTTTCTCTCCCTGTGGTGCTTTGAGTCTAATCCAGTGCTCCTGATAACTGCTTTCTGTCTCCCCGGCTCCTCTGACCCTATAACCACTCCTGCCCTCAGCCCTGTTTGCAGCGCCCCGGGTGGGGAGGGGTCCCCCCTACAAGTGCCTCATGGTCCTTTACAGGTCCTGTAAAGACAAGCATATTGGAGCACTGCCATGAAAAAAGCCCTTTTAAATGAGGTGGCAGAGACAAGAACTGCTCCTTCTGTCCCAAGAACGCTCACAGGGAGATGTGTGCAGTGCCAGCTGGCAGCGGGTGACACTTATCTGTTTTACCCAAAGCAAGGTCTCAGTATGGGACCCCTGGGCAGCCCTTTGTGCACCTGGAGCCCAGGAAATTCAGGATCGTGTTTTCCAAGAGCAGATTTCCTTAAGCCCAGTCTTCCCCATAGGGGCTGCTCAATGCCGGTGTGTCTCTCTGTGCCTCACCCTCGACTGCTGAATCTTAGGGTTTCTGGCTCTGTAAGAGTGGATGTGATAGAGAGGAGGAGTGGGACTGAGGAGACCTGTCAGACTTGTGGGATTTACATCTTGGTGTTAGGGGAACTACCCTTGAGCAGTGCAATGCCCTCCTGTTCTTACCAAACCCCAAGGTCAGCGCTTCCTTCCACTCTGGTAGCATTTCCGAGCACCTCATCTAAACATATCCAAGGTGGGGTGGCCTCTGCCTTGTGTTGAGAGATTGGTGGCAGTGCTGATTCTGATTCATGTCTTTCTGATGCTGAGGAATGGTGCTGAGGGAGGTCAGCAGCCTGGATGTCCATCATGCCTCCTTGGAAGGGCATGTTTGGTTCGGTGAGGCTGTCAGCTCCAATGCAGGGACTTTCTGTATCCAGCCTGGGCTGTGTTAGCAGGTCTTGTATCTGATCACCCTGTGCCTGTTCCTGGACTCCTGGCACCCCCTGAAACTCTGGTTTTCTTGTGCAAAACTTTCAACCAGCTCCCCAGCTGTGCTTAAAGGCAGAGCTCCTCCACCCATTGCTGTCCTTCAATTATAAAGCATTTCCTTTCAGATCCTGGGGTCAGAAAGGTTGTGTACAGAGTTGTTTTGAGAAGTCCTTGAGCACCTGATGCAATAGGAGTGTGGTCAGGAAAAGATTATTTCAGAGTCCAGAAGGCACAGAGCAAAACTTCGCTCTGAGTGGAGCATCCTGAGATGGTCCTGGGCTGAGAGCCCCATGATCCTTCCCTGGGTGGGGGCTGTGGGGCTCACTGTGCCTCTTCCAGGAGAGGTTGTGCCCAGCAGAAACTTTCCTTGAGATCCTGGCTGGGAGAGGAATTGCCATCCAGGGACAGAGAGACAAGGGCAGGAGAGCTCTGGGCATGAGATCCTGAAGTAGAAATGGTTCCAAAGACTCTTTGATGGCCAAAATGTTGATCTAAAAGGCCCATGCTGTGAATAAACGCTCCTCCAGAAAGGCAAAGCCATTCAGACTGACTTTGTAATCTCTTTATATCGCTGTATCTCCTTATATTGCTCACCTACATCACAGGGCACCCTGCAGCACCACTGCCTGCCCTGTCAGTCCCCATCCAAGCCAGCAGTTTCTGCCTCCCCACAAAGCCCAAGGGCTGCTTTTATAAATTCACATTGGATTAAAAAGCCCTTGTGGGCTCAGTCGTGTCTGAGTACAGCTTGGCTGCTGTTTAATTAACAGCCTAATATACATTTCTTCCTGACAAGGAAAATAGCCTGGCAAAAGCCCAGTGCCCTTTACATGATGGATAGTGGAGCAAAGTGTGCAGCTGTGGGACTGCAGGATGTGTTTGTATCCTGCATTCATCTCCATGTGTCAGATCCTTGCCCAGGGCCACACAGAGACCAGCAAAGTGCTCGGCATGGAGGCAGGCACGTCCCTGCTCCCTGGAGCAGGAGAGGCAGGAAAGGCCCAGCCTGGGTACAGGGGTTCCAGAGAGGTCAAACTGTGCAGGACCCAGGACAGCCTGAGGGCAGAACACTGTAATTTTCTGCCCTCAGTGCTTAGGAGGGTGTGCCACGGTGTTCGAGTCTTGTTCAGAGATCAAACTTAATGCTGTGTTGTACATGTTACTATCACCCCTGCACTGTCACAGCTGGGAGGCAAGAGGGAGGACCCCTCAGTATCCCAAAACGTCAGGGAATTTCTCCCTGGCCTCTGCTGCCAAAATATTCCTCCTTTGGTACAGAGAGCCCTGCACTGTGAGACAGAGAAGTGTGGGACCATGGCATGGAGTGGAGGCTTTGGAGCTGGGCTGGCTCCGTGCAGGGATGGGGTGGGAGGAACCTTCATGGTCTGAGGGGGCTGGTGAGCCTCCAGCTGGATTCCAGGAGGATGTAAAAGCACAGAAGAGTGATGGGAGAGTCCCAAGGCATCCAGAAACACCAAAATCTCCTTGCCAGAACTGGGTAATGGTACCTGTGCCCAGACAAGCCGGTAGATTGAGTGCTGGGGCCAGGCTGTTATGACATGTCCTAGTGAGGGTGGCCAGAGGCACCCAGAGAAGCAGGGCTGTGGGAGGGGGCTGAGGGGGCCAAAATCATGACTCTGATGGTCATGCCGGGCTGATGGACACTTGGGGTTACCTAGGCTCTGTCATCAGCAGAGGAGACTCATCCATGTGCTGTGTTCAGCAGACTGTGGTGTTGGGCTAAAATGGAGAGGGGCAAAGAAAATATAATAAATCAGTTGATAGATCCTTGAGGAGAACTTGTTGCCTCAACACACAGGGAAAGGGTAATGAAGCAGCTTATTGCTCTGTCCATACCAGCTGGTGATGTGTCCGTGTCCCGTGTCCCCTTTGCAAGGGGATGGAGGGAGGTTTTGGGACAGAGGGATCAGCAGCGGCTCATCCTTCTTGTCTGCCAAACAAAAAGCCTTTTTCTTCCTCCTGGCTGGGCTCCAGTGAGGAAAACAAACTCAATTAACATGATGGCTGGGAAGAGGCAGGCTAGCTGGCATTTAGCACTGCAGCTTTTCAGAGGCAGTAATTCTTCAGCATGGTTCGTTATGACCTGCTGGGGCAGTGGAGGGCACCGGTCCAGCTCCAGTTAACAACGGGTCTGGGGGCCTCAGAGGGGAACAACCAAGACTTCTTTTGATCATACCACTGGAGAGGTGAGGATGTGTCTGCAGGTCCACACTCAGCTTTGTCACCCAGCATTCCTTTGCAGAGGTGCTCCTCAGTCTCCCTTCTCACAGAGACAGGGGTCGTGGATGCTTCAGGTGTCAGTGGCAGAGGGGATGAGTGGCTCAGCTGTGGTCTGGGGGGTGACGGTGGCTCCTGACATCAGCCAGGCTGCTCCAGGGCATCACGTCACCCCGGCCGGGGCAGGATTGCAGCAGAGGATGCAGCAAGACACGTGAAGGTGATGTGCATCCTCTGCACACCACAGGGCTGGAGCAGCGTGTGTGTGTTGGTGGGGACCTTCCCCTGGGCAATGACCTGACGGGAAGGTGAAGGAGCAGGGTGGAGCATTCTTGCAGCTCCACTGTTTCCGGCACCTGAGCTGTCTGCTGGCAGTGAGGGTGAGCCCTGGGCACGGTGCTGAGCCAGCAGACGTGCCCCCAGGCACTGCCACAGCACTAACAATCACCCATCACAGTTACTGCCAACCTGGCTGTTTGCTGGGACAAGGGGCAGAGAGCCCTGAGATGACCCTCATCTCTGCTGGTGTTTTGGGGATCTGAACTTGGGGAACAGCTGAATTCTTGACTTACCACCACCTGGGCAAAACTTGGGACACAGAACCCAAAGCTCTGCTCTGAGTCCAAAATCTCATTTTTTCTGCTCATTTCTATGCCTTGCTTGGGTCACTGCCCTGACTGGCTGTGCTGAAAGTAGTGAGGATTGTTCCTCAAGCCACAAATTATTTTTTTTTCCCCTCTTCCTCTATCTAAAAACATTTCATGGGAGCCAGGGACACGCTGCTACCAGCTGGCTCCCGGTCCCACGGCCCGATTCCTCACACACACCCATGAGCCAAGGGTGAGCCAGCCCATTGCTATTGGAGGAACTCCACACACGCAGCCAGGGAAGAACATATGTAAGTGCCACTGGATTGCCCGGCTAATTGGGATCCCATGGGAGAAGTGGAGGGGGAAAACCGGCAGGAAGGGAGTGAGCATGCATGTCATGGTGCAAACGCAGTGACTCAGGAGGTGCACACGTCCACCTAAGGGGCCCAATTAACAGTGTTTTTAATAATGATTATTACAGTTGACTCAGCACTCGAAAACGCTTTGAAGTCGAGAAGTGCTACACTTTACACCTGTTATTAAAATACGTTCCCACTTAGTGGACCCTGCAGTCAGCATCTCCTCATGTGCAGCGCCCCGGAGGTGAAGTTTTGCTCAGACAGACACCTGCCAGAGGGAGGGCCTCATGTTTATTATCTGAGCTGGATCAAACATCCCTACTTTGCAAGTCACCATTCTTCTTTCCTTCTGATGCATTTTTAGCGCCTGCGGCAGACATTTATAGGGCAAAGGCCCTGAGATACCTAATTTTTGCTCTATTACTCTTGTTTCTAGACACTGGAAATGTCCAAGGAAAGCTGGTTTTGCTGCTCTTTTCCCTCACTTACTCCCTGATGAAAGCAGACCTTCGAATATGAATCCCACAAGACCTGCCTGGATTTTCCCTCTGACCCCTGAACTGGACAGACACAAGAATAGGCTTCAAGATGTACTTTACAGTTTGAGCATCCACACACTTGGCTTGGGGAGCAAGACTATTTGCAGTGAGTCCACTGCCCAATCACTGTCCACATCACGAGTCCAAGTACATGTTGGGACCCTCATGGTGCCCTTGCTCACCTGTCCACACCACAGGCCCATTCAGAGCACACGTAAACAAACCAACAGCCCTTCATGCACTCCAGCCCCACTGCCAGCACAGCAGTTCCAGTTTCACTGGCTCTTTAAATCCAGCTCCATCAATAATTTACTCCTCTCTTGCAATTCATCAAATATTTATCCTCCCCATGCATTTCCCAGCCTGGACATGTCACTACGAGGGTAGAGGCAAGGGCTGAGGAGTTACCACTCCTTGAAACTCAGCATTGCTGGAGCACTGGCAGCTCCTTCCCCTCCTTTTTTGGCTTCATGGCTCCTCAACCCTGTGATCTCCTGCCCTCCTCTTCCCCACCCATCTTTGAAGCCCTTCTCTGCTTCTATGAGAGATGTCAAAGACTGATCACAGAAATCCTGCATGGTTTGTAGATCTTTTTGGCCCTTACACAGTTCTGAACCTATTGACCAACTTACTGAGTCTGCCAGAGGGCTCAAGGTTGTACTTATTTAGTTTCTCTAAGTGTTGGGAAAACATTTGCATGGTGGAGTTACTGCTCATGCTCCCACAGGGAAAGCTGAGGGCACCTTGTAGCAGCTCTCAGGGAATACAGGCACGAAGCTCATGCTCTGAGTCCAAATAATCTCCAGTTTGACCTCTGGACACTTCTGAACAGCCTGAGGACTGCAAACTCGGTACTACACCATCTGAGTGGCTCTGCTCTGGCTCTGCTGCTCCCTGGACAGCAGTGTCCTGGGTGGGCAGTGGGGTCCCTGCCTTCAGGGTGGGGGTGAATGTGCTGAATAAGGCTGTTCCTGGGGCTTGAGTTTTGGCACTAGCGATGAAGGTGCAAAGCAGCAGGGGAAAGAGGTCCCTCTGCTCCTGTGATCTCCTGCTCTTTTTCTGGAGTAGCTTTCAGATCCTTTGAAGTGAGACAAGCCATGGCACAGAGTACACGGTATTTGGAAGAGGTTTCTGGCCTCTGCTGCTCCCAGCTCTTGTTGACACAGATTCTAAAGCAGGAGGAGTTAAGTAACACAGGCTGAAGGTCTCAAGTGTGCGTTTCAGGAGCTGGACTTGATGATCCTTGTGGGTCACTTCCAACACTAAATATTCTATGATTTGCCTTCTGCACTCCTGGTGTCACCATGGATTGGAGCTGAGGTCTCTGGAGAAACAGTGCTCAGTTCCTCTGGAGCTCAGCAAAAGGGTGGCACAGAAATGGGCAGGAGCTCTGCTGAGCCAGAGCTCTGCCAGGGCCCTGCTGCCCACAGGAGTAACTTTGGAGGGTGGTGGAGCTGCACAGCCCTAATAAAAGGCTTTGCCTTATCCACGTGCACGGAGGGAGAGTGCCTTGTTGACAGATACTGCTGCTGGCTGCATATCATTAGCACACGCTCAGGAGAAGGCTGGTGCCAGCAGGGGTGTGAACTATCTCTTGTTTCACCCGAACACAAATACAGAGGAATGTCAGGAGGACAGACTTCCCTTGAATCCCAGGTTTGTGTCTGTCCTGTCACGGCAGGCAGGAGATGTGGGCAAGCGGTTGTGTCCTGTCAGCAGCTTGCTGAGGCAGGGGCTGGCACGGTGTGAGAAGAGATGCTAATGGCAGCAGTCGAGTGCCCAGCTCTTGAGGAGTGCAGAAACCTAATCTCTACTTTCTCTGAAACTGGATTCTCAGGATGTGCTAATACCAATGTGCTCTAAGCCATGCAACCGAGACCAAGCACAGTACAGCAAAATCCCCCACAAAACCCCCGTGCCAAGGCCAAGGCCAGCAAATTCACTCTTATTCTCTACTGCCAACAGGCCCCTTGAGCCCCAGATTTCCCCAGGCACTGAGGAACAGGAGGGTGGGAAGGTGCAGCAGGTGGTGGGTTTCAGAACCATTGCTGAGGAGTCTCATGGTGGTGCTACTGCAATGGTGGGACCCCAAGGTGTCCCACCCAGGATGTGGGATACAGACCGTCATTTTGGGAGACCCCTATGCAGAATGTGAATGAAGCCAAGGTCTGAAGATAGAATCTGACTAGAATTTAATGGGACATTTGCAATTCAATATTTCATAACAAACTTAAGGCCTGAGCTGGAATCAGGCCCATATTTCAGTTCTGGGCTATTCAGAAGCTGTCTTGCCTCCCTCCAAAAGTTGGTTTGATGCAGGAGCATATTTTTCCTGTGATCTAAATTCAGGTCACAGGAATTGCCACAGGTTTGCATGTCAGGCACAATGATTCCATGTCAGTGGTACACCCCTCCAGAAGAGCCCTTTGAAATTAAGCTGTGGGGGTCAGAAGAGTGTAGCTTCACATTTCAGGGACTCAACACTTCATGGTACTGATTTGCCCCCGCACAGCTGGAAATATCTCAGCTGAGTCTGTCACCTATGCATAAATGCTAACTGGTTTTTCTTGCTGTTTAGGGGCGATCCAGACAAATGTGACATCTGGGGGAACACCCCTCTCCACCTGGCGGCAGCCAACGGCCACCTGAACTGCCTTTCCTTCCTCATCTCCTTTGGGGCCAACATCTGGTGCCTGGACAATGACTACCACACCCCGCTGGACATGGCAGCCATGAAGGGGCACATGGAGTGTGTGCGGTACCTGGACTCTATTGCTGCCAAGCAGAGCAGCCTCAACCCCAAGCTGGTGAGCAAACTGAAGGACAAGGCCTTTCGGGACGCGGAGAGGAGGATTAAGGACTGTGTGAAGCTGCAGAAGAAGCACCACGAAAGGATGGAGAAACGGTACAGAAAGGAGATGTCGGATAATTCAGACACCATGAGCTTTTCCAGCTATTCAAGCAGCACCTTAAGCAAGAAGTTCCAGCACATGTCCATGGTGACCTCCCTGCCATACTCTCAAGCCACCATCCATGGCACAGCCAAGGGAAAGACGAAAATACAAAAGAAGCTGGAGAAGAAGAAGCAGGTGGACGGGACATTCAAGATCTATGAGGATGGGAGGAAGAGCGTGAGGTCCCTGTCCGGTCTGCAGCTGGGCAACGACGTCATGTTTGTGAAGCAGGGCACGTACGCCAGCCCCAAGGAGTGGACCCGCCGCAATATCAGAGACATGTTCCTCACGGATGAAGACACCGTGTCCCGTGCCATAAGTGACCCAGGCTTGCACATGGACTCGGCCCACTCGGAAGTCAGCACCGACTCTGGCCACGAGTCCCTGTTCAACCGCCCCGGGCTGGGCACCATGGTGTTCCGGCGCAACTACGTCAGCAGTGGGCTTTTTGGGATCGGCCGGGAGGACGGGGGCGCGCTGGGGGAGGACAACACGGATGGGATGGGCGTCAAACTGCGGAGCCGCCTGCAGCGCTCGCCAAGTCTCAACGACAGCATTGGCAGTGCCAACAGCCTGCAGGAGAGGAACGCGGAGGAGCTGCCCTGGGACGAGGTGGAGCTGGGCTTGGACGACGATGACGAACCTGACACCAGCCCCCTGGAGACTTTTCTGGCTTCCCTGCACATGTTTGAGTTCATCTCCATCCTGAAGAAGGAAAAGATTGACTTGGAGGCCCTCATGCTGTGTTCAGACAATGACCTGAAGAGCATCAATATCCCACTAGGCCCCAGGAAAAAGATTGTGGATGCCATCCAGAGGAGACGACAAACTCTGGAGAAGCCAGATGTCATTGTAGACACTGAACTGTAAGTAGGAGATGGGGCCTCTGTGCAGTTAAACCCCTTTAGCAGGTGCAGATGTGGACAATGTAAGGCCTTGTTTTCAACCCGCTTGGAAGAGTAGGAGTCCAGGTAACCTCAGCACTTCTGTGTGTGGGCAAATTCCTGCTCGTGTGGAAAGGATGAGAGTTTGGAGAGGTGGCAATAGTGTTAGCTCATTACTCAACAGCCCTAATGTGACTGGGCAGGACGTGAAGCCTTTGTTTCATTTCATAACCGATATGAATGCAGACTGCTCTGCGGTCTGATGCTCCTCTGTCCCTGTAGCTGAGAATTATAACCACACTCAGGCTTGTCTTGACTCTTCACCTTTTGAAGACATTAGGAAATCAACCGCAATTCCCGGTGGGAGCAGGCTGACAGCCGTGCCCGGTGGCATTGGGAATCCTTCCCCAAATGCTTGAGATCTTACTCAGACCTCTGGAGACTGCATACCTGGGTTGGAGTTGTTGCTCTTTTATGGTGTTTCCAGGGTTTGGTTGGGTTGGGTTGAAGGACCGTGGGCCTGAATAGAAGTGAAGGAAGGCATTGGTGTGGGTGTCCCCACGTCCACTGACACACTAATTCACTGTGTTGTTTGGGCTGCCCACCCTTCAGATACCTGTGTGCTGCTTTTACAGGCTTTCAGTACAGCTTGGTCTTGGATCCTCTGGGTGCTGACAGATTTTTCTCTTTCCCTTTGCAGATAGCCTCAGCATCTTTTTTTTTTTTTTTTTTTTTAAATGCTCAAGAAACAAACCCAGTTCTAAGTTGCCAGAAAACACAAGCCAGAGACTCCCTTCCTGGGGCAGCTGAAAGCTACAGCCATCCCCACCAGTCCTGCTGGACTGCTCCCTTGCTCTGCTCCCTGTCTGTGCGATGCTCCCAGGCGGATCCTGGGACGGAGGGACGACTGCTGAGATCGGACCAGGCAGCACCAACCTGCCAGCCTTGAAGGGACCATGGTCTCCTGCTCACTGGAGGAAGAAGTGACCTACACAGCTGGCTGGGACACTGCTGTCACAGGCTGTGAGACCGCATGAAGCCATGAATGGAAGGAGATAACACGATATTTTCAAAGGGACCCAAAATAAATAATTACAATCTACTCTTTCTTGAGCACGTGGTTGTTTTGGGGTTTGGGCTTGAGGAACAGAGGGATGGGGAGTTCTCTTCTCTCTCCAGGTTCTCATTTGGGGAGAAGCATCACCTTGTTTGGTGCTGTGTTTTTGCAAGGGGATTCTCATTACCGCGGTGTGGGGCTGTTCAGTTTGAGACACACCAAGCCCGACTTCAGCCACCAGGTGCTCAGCACCTCTGTGATTCTGCTCTGTGCTGTCTTGACGGCAACAATACGAAATGAAATGGTGGTTTGAACATGTTGGTAGTTGCTGTCCAGTGGTCAAACAGCTGTTTCACAGATGCAACATTTCTCAGGGGCACCGAGCTGCATCAGCAGTTTTTGTGTGAAAGACCTTGACTTTTGCCTCAAGGATCTTCCCAGGACAAAGCATAACACTGGGCTGCAGCCCAGAGCCTCTTCCAAGCATCCCTGATGCTTCAGTGCTCAAACCACTGCTCTGAACCACAGCGTTAGATGTTCCCACACACCCATCGCGCTCTCACTGACCATCGCACTCTCTGAGCCCTCAGCTCCCAGCTCCACTGCACCATCTTCCAGATGCGATATATGGATGGCTCCTGGGTGGCATGAGTGTTTCTAGAGTGCAGCAGTGGGATGAGGACCTGGTCATGTCCCCATGGCCCCTTGCCACGGGGTGCTGGCAGTGTGCCTCTTCAGGCTGTGATGCAAACTGCCAGAGCAGAGAAATGCTGTAAGTTGTTACTGGTGCTGCTCATCAACCTTATCTCAGGGATCCAAATGATAAGGAATGACCCCTTAACATTGGTCCTGGGTCAGGCTGGGATCTGGACCATGCTTGTCCCTTTGGACACGTGGAGGTTGTGGTTTATCTGCTTGGAGGATGGGGATTTGTTTGGTGTGAAGTTGTGCTGCTCCCTGCCCGTGCTTGCCCTGGGTGTGTGGGTGTAGGGGAGGAAAATTACTCTTTGCACGTTAGAAATACTCTTTGCAAGGTGTTTCTCTGCCCTATTGCCCCCTGAGTGGCTGAAGCCCCACCAGGAGAGGTGTGGGATCCCAGCCTTGTGCCACTGCACACAGAGGTGCTCGGGCATCAGTGAAGCACCATCACTGCACTCAGGGTCTGAGATCTTTCTGCACAGATGCAAACTGATTAGCTTTTTAAGTAATTTTAGAGCTAATAGTGCATTTGCATTTTAAATTACAAGTTCTGCATAACTCTTGGCTCGATTTCCAGGCGAAAGGGGGAGTGCTCAGACGTGCTGAGTCTGCGAGTTTTCCGCCGCGGCCCCGGCACTGTTTTCTTTGGTCCCTCTCCAAAGCCCGGGGCTGCTGTCCTGCAGGGAGAGCTGTGGCTTGGATGATGTCACAGCTCCCTCTGCCGGGACCAGGTCTGGGAGAGCAGGATAGGACCCACAGCCCACCAGGAGTCAAGGACTGCCACCTGCTGTGAGCAGGGCCTGTCTTATGAAGGCAAATTTTCAGGTGAGGTTACGATTGCTTCATTCGCCCTCATCCTCATGCACACGTGTGACTACACCCAACCCCTCTGTCCCTGCTCTGATGACTGGCAGTACCAGCTGCCCACCATGAACCAGTTCCCAGCCTCAGTTTCCCCAGGTCTGAATGGTGCCTTTGGGTCTGTGCTGGACACAGGTGGGGAACAATGTGCTGTGGCTCACATTGCTGTCACTCCAGTGCTATGGGGACCAGTTTATCCCAGCAGATGACAGGTAAATGGATCTATTGGCTTGGCACCCACCAGAGCCTTTTGTGGGCCAGGCACCGGGTAGTGGTGGGAATCTGAGGGCTGCCAGGCACTGGGGTTTGCACGCTCACTAACTGTGCTTTTTTGCTTAGGAGCACCCAAGCAGTTCCTGATGCTGACAGAGATCCTTTTTTTCAACTTATCTTTCCTTCAAAGAGCCAGTGAAAAGGTTTGCTGTCATGACAATACCCAAATGACACAGGACATTTCCCTGCACAGGTAAGAAAGACCAAGCCCAAAAATGCCACTTAGGATCACCAAGTCCTAAGACCAATGTGGTCACCTCCATGACAGAGGGAGAGACCAGAGCTGAGCCGTGGCACCAATGCAGTGTGGCAGAGCCCAGGAGATGGGCTCAGGCCCATGGCTGCCCCAGGTGAGGTGAGGAAGATGTCTCTGGGCATGGGGAGGGCTGTCAGAGGCACCAGCAGCTCCAGAGCAAATACCTGCACTTGGAGTTCATGCATATTCCTTGGTTTTAGGTTTGGTCCTAATGGTTTCCAACAAGGTTGTTTCCCACAAAGTGTGGGGCCACAGCCCCTTCAGGACACAGCATTCAAAGCCCTGGCCAAAGAGATGTCTCCTGCTTTCCAGCTTCCCCTGACCAGCTGGGTTGCTGGACTGGGCTCATGTCAGAGCCAAGCTCCTCTTGCCTTGGGCATGAGGAGGGGACACATCTGTCCCCAGGTTCTCAGCAGAGCTGGCCCTGTCCCTGCACTGCCCATTGACAGCCCGAGTTTCCCTGGGAAACTTCACGGTGCTCATTACCCTCCACAACCGAGAACAACAAGCTCCTTTCGGAGAGGGTGCTTGTGAAAGCAGGGTGGAGGCCAGGGTTGGCACACCCTGGAGAACACCCTTAAATACCCTCCCAAACAGAAACCCAGCCAGGCCACAGGTTTCCCTGACCCGCTGCTGCCAGCAAGCAAACACCATCCCTCGTCCCTGCCTGTGGCACCGGAGCAGTCAGACACGGGGCAGGTCCTGTGGGCACCGTCGCAGTGGATGGCAGCATGTCCCCATCATGGAATGAGTGATCCTTGGGATGGTCATCCCTTAACACCCCAAGCCACAAATGCCAAACTGTCCAGTGCCTCTGTTAAATGGGGCTTCCCAGCAAAACCAGTCCCCAGTTTTAGCTTGCACATGTTCCCAGTGGTGCAGGAGGTGGTGTGTGGGGAGCAGAGTGAGGCCAAGGGTCTGTGCCAGCAGTCCAGCCGCTGCATGGGCACCCCATCCTTGGCCAGGCATCTCCATCTCCTCAACTTTGAGCATCACTCAAAAGTGATGCTGATTCACAGGCCCTGCCTTTATTTCCCGACAGCTGCTTCAAGGATGGAGGCACTGGCACTCATTAGCACTCAGCTGTTTTTTTCTCCCCATCCTTAGGAGCTGGCTGGACCCCCAGACCACAGGCTGGAGGAGGGCGAAGGCAGGGGATGCTTTGGGGATGACCAAGGTTGTATGGTGGTTCTGCTGGAGATGCAGGTTTGCAGGCACCAAGTGAACACTGCATCATTCCTGCTTGGCTGCTGGGTACCATAGCTGGCCCATGGGGACATGGCTGCTTCCCCAGGCCGATGGTGGCATGGTGATTACTGGTTGCTCCCCTGGGATGGCACGTATGCTCTGCCATGTCACATGGGACTGACATGGGAACCAAGAAAGGACCACAGGACACCATCAGGTAGGTCCTACAGGCAGAAGGGGCTAGAGGGAGGAAGGTCCCTTGGGATGGAGCACTTAGTCCTCAGCCTTGCCTGATGCTCCTCTTTCCCAGCCTCGCCTGGAGCCAGTGACAGCCACAGTGCCCATACTGGAGGGTGACACTGGGGTCCAGGACCTGCCAGGCCAGTGCAGGCCATTGTACCCCACTTGCTTTACTATTTCCTGCCCATCCCATCAGAGATTCATTTCCTGGCCCAACAGCTGAGTAACACGTGGTTGTAGGAAAGTGGAGGGCCAGGATGAGAGTGAGGGGGAAGGGGGTCCATGTGTGGCACCCCCGGCATACCCTGGCTTTGCTGTCCCTTGCACAGTGTCCCCCAGCAGCCCAGTGCAGGCCTGGATGTGCAGCCTGGTTTGGATGCAGCGCCTTGCCTTGAAACTGCTTTTGGGACCCTCCATGGCTGTTCCCAAAACCAAAGTGCCCCAAAAGGCAGCAGCACGGACACAGATCAGCGTGCCTGTGAGAGAGCTGCCAGGCAGGCTGGGAAAGCAGGAGAAGTGGAGGGGTCATTTCATTTTAATTCTGGCTTTAGGTATTAACAGGGCAAATAATTTTCTACATTTGCTTAATGCAATATAAAAATATTAGCAAAATGTCAAGCAATGCCATGGATTCTGCCATCAGTTTTCTCCCTGGTACCCATTGTCCCGTTACCCATCGCCCCAGCCTGGTCCCAACAAGGAGCACAGGGGCACACCTGCAGATGGCACTGGGCATCCCAGGGGGGAGCCAGGGCAGAGCAGGGTGTGGGGCATCACTGGTACCCCAGAGCCATCTGTCTGGTTTCATCCCATTGGGCACTGACAGTGCTGCTGGGAACAAGTGTACTTCACAGGCACTGCCTGATCACTGCAGGTCATTACCCAGGTCATCATCATCCCCAGCTGCTGAACATCCCTGGTCCCCCATGACACCCAAGCTTCTGGCTTGCTCTGGCACAGCCCTGGCACTAGCAGTGAGGATGGGGTCACGCCCAGCACTGCTCATGGAAATGCTGAAGCTGGAGGGAAACTGAAACGAGGAAACCATTTCAGGAGGAAGCAAGCCCAGTGATGGAGCTGGCTCTGTGCCACTCCATGTGCTGGGGTGAGGGTACTGAGCAGCCAGATACCCCAGCACCACAGCATCCCCTGTGTGAACAAGAGATCAGCTCAGCAGCGCCAGGGGTGACAGATCAGATCAGCAGGGGCACACAAGTCCCGGGGGGGACGGCGAGTGGGAAACTCTCAGTAGCTGGGACAATACTGACACCAGCTCCTTGGTAGCACTACTAAATAGGACCATGTGCTCTGCTGGGGCAAACACTGGCACTGCAGGACTGATGCCTTGTGCATCCTGTCCTGGATGCTCTGGTGGGAGAACGCTGGGTGGCAAAGGCACAGAGGAGGCTGTGGGACCCTCGGCTGGTGTGGGGGTCAGGTCAGTGCCCGTCGCTGCATGTGGTGCA